AAACTGATTGCATCCCTATACGGCCAAATAATTTCCAAACTTTCCGAGATGTGCAGACCGGGTGAGGACTCAGGATACACAAGTCCAAAGTCTTTTTATTTACTGTGTCGTTGATAGTGTACGGATCATGCAGTTGTATTATAATCAGCAGTCCTCTGAACCTTCTGAAATGAAATGGCAAGAAACGTGGTAAGACACATATTTGCCAGCAGGCCTCAGCTATCGATTCACAGACGAGCACAAAGTAGAAATTCAAACGTAGAGAAACGCAGCCATGGATTGGCAGGAAGCGAGTGGTTCCGTGTCAATCAGCTGTCATTACCTAATGCCATCATTAGACTAATCAACCCTATCCTCCCGGAAATCGTCCCTCTCTTCCTCCCACCGCCACCATCTCCTTCGCCGACTGCCCGCCGATTCCGTTGGCCTTTTTTCGATATCTCTCAAACCGTAACCTCACCGCATCCAATGGTCCTCCCAAATCTCGTCAATTTGCCCTTCGTCGGATCTGCAAGACCATTGCTGCTGTTGTGCAAGAATGCGGCTTCAAACTTACAGCTCTTTGCAGAAGTAATGGCACTTCCGATCATTTTGTAAATAAAGAACAACTTACAACTTCCTCTTTTCTTGCGCTCATTGCGGCCTCAATCCTAGTCCAAATCTCTTGAAAGTAGGACCGTTCGACTGCGTTTTGGACCGGCTTTCTACTCCTGGTACTCCGAGTCTCCCACTACCAACTTTATTTTCGACCTTATTCGGCTCCAGTGTGTCAAGCCCCGATCCTTGTTCCCGTCTTTTCTCGTGCAATTCCTGGTGGATTCAGCTGAAAGTAGGCGCGTTTTCACGGCGTTTGGTGCCTCTCACTGACCTCGCGCGTTTGGTACACTAGTTTTCTGCCCGTCACGACCCACTTTTGCAAGCCACAAGCCCGCGCGATCCTTTCTGAAGCCTTCTGTTATCTTGGGGACCTCGGACTTGAACTTGAACTCTTGCGATCCTAGGTGTGTTATACAGTCTATTGGACTTGCTCGCTATGCTAATGCTGTGAAAAGTGACTCGCACTCATTCTCTGCATTTTTCTCGCTTTCCGTTTGCTCTGAAGTGCGTTCCTTAGCCCGTAGTGCACACTGAAATCCAAGCTGACCCATAGCCTTTTCAACTATGACACGCTCCTCCTCTCGCAAAATTTCAGCTTCCATCGCCAAAATTGCTGCACAGGACCTGCTTGACTCCGGGGAAGAAAATGACATAGACGTGGACGAAGATGCGGATAAAACCTTAGTGCAAAGTGGTGAGGAGGAGGAGGATGACAAAGACGAAGATGACGGCGACGGAAACGAGGAGGAGGAGGATTCGGGGACGGGTGGGGACACCGACGAGGAGGAGGAGGAAGATTCGGGAACGGGTGGGGACACTGACAAGGAGGAGGAGGAAGATTCAGATGACAACAACAATGGTTCTGACGTTGTGGTCGTACCTCGAAAGCGTAAACGAAGCGGGTCCGGGAAAAAATCAAATGTTACGCAACCAATCTTTTCGCCCTTACCCGATACTACGTCGATCTCGCTCAAGAACCGAAACCCCGCGACATTGATTACAAATTTGCAATATTCTCAGCCAAGGAAATGAAGAAATCGAAATCGTCTCGGAGTCCGGCCACCGAGGTCGTCGTTTTAAAAAGCAATGTATCGTGGGCTACCCTCAAGACCAACATTTTGACACAGATAAACGAGGCCCTCGACCCTCCTTCGCTGATCTTCCACGACTACAACATTACCTTCACAGTCCCGCATCAAGTCAGCGATCCTATGCAGCTGAGCGACAAAAAATATGATTATCTTGTCAAGAAAGCTCTTCAGATTCAAAAAAACCCGTCTGTGAAGGTTATTATCGAGCAAAAGGTGACGTGTCGCTGTGCTGGGATTTACGTCGGACAAAGCTGACTACTCGCCACAGGGATTCACGAAGAACAAAGAGAATGGGTTGAATGAAGACGAGGATGATGTTGGGGAGAAGCGGGTCAAAAAATCAAAGGTCAGTCTAGTTCATCGGCTCACAATAAATGCTGACAATTCTTCAGGTCCCCAAGGCCCGCGACATTCTCCCCGCAAATGTGGCGTTGAACGAGAAGATCGGTGAACTGCGTAACCGCTGGATTTTCCCAACGCCCGGTGGCCCTTGCGGCAGTGCACATTGCTATTATAACGATATCAACCCCGAACACATGCCTCTCTCACACGCTCACTTCCAAAGCTGGGGCGCCGCCACGGTGAACTTGTTGAGGTTGATTCAAGATGAACAACACTAATCACAGCACTAGCTCAAAGGGCAAACATTTGCGGACCTGGAGACGCCTCGGAACAACGAACTCTTTGACCAGGTATCCCAAGGAGCTCGGGCAGCAAAATCACCACTTCTACAGTGTCGCCTTGAACTTCGACAGGAAGCCGCCGCAAAGCAGGCACCTCCGGTGCCACAGGTTCATCTCAACTTCGGTGCTGAACTCGCAAATCTCTTCCGTCCTGCGGCTGCTCCTCCCGCTCCGCCTCCCGCTGTACATAATGCCTTTATTCCTCCCCCAAACTCATCGAACATGCTCATCCCTTTCCCACGTCTCCCTGGTCCTGATCTCTCCATCGAAGACTTTTGTGCCCTGTACAACCTTGATGCGGATATTTGCGACCGATTCAAGCAACAGAGATATAAGCGCACGACTTCCTTCAAATTCGTCGAGATCCCGGAGCTGAAGGAAATGGGTTTCATGCCGGGAGAAGTGGCTGAGTTGAAGGTTGCGATTGAAGAGTGGTGGCGTGCATCTGAATAAATAGAACATGTATAATTTGCAACTCGAACACACTTGTACACTAAAATACATCAAGTATCTGGATGCATGTACCGCAGAAATTATCCGGCGCTTTATCAATCGGACATGGAGATGGATGGATGCCTATCGGTATGGCCTGACTGGGGCTGCTGCAGTGTGGGCAGTCAGACGTCAGAGTGCCCATCGCCAAGCCTCCAAGCGTGCCGCAGCAGCTTTGGATGCATCGGCAGTGTCGGCAGGGAGTAGGTAGGTCACCGGAGGCCAAAAGGGGTACACACAATTTTGTTCCGACCGGCCAAAATTTTGGCCAAACGTAATCCCTCGTCAAAAAATTCAGAAAAATGGTATATAGGCTTATTTTAGGGTGCTGAATCTGAATCTGAAGTCCGTTTTTTAATTGAAACAAAACTCCGGCCACTAGCCGAGTTGATGTTTTTGACTGTCCCCTACTGTAAGCAAATCAGCACCGCAAATTCCGCATTTTTTGTGTTGGAAGCAATACCCGCAAACAAATCAGCACCGCAATTTGTTGCACGGCGTCGCACACCCGCTCCTTGGGGAGATATTGACTAGTTAATCGCTTAACTAGTCAAGGATTCTTTACATGTGGTCAAGGTTCTTGACTGACCTTGACAACACTGGAGCCTGTCGTGCAGTACCTAGAGGATCCGGGACCGACTTATTATACTGATGGCCTCTTCCTCGTCCTCATCCACAAGAAAAAGAGATATTCCAGCGAAATGACTGGACCGCTGAAGAAAATGAGAATTTGGCATTGTTTGGCTTTTTTCCCATTTCTCCCACAATGTTTGGCATTGCTTGGCATTTCCCAAAATTTCCCATTTTTCCGGGGACTGGAATGAAGCGTGTGCTGTCGCAGAAAATCCTACTACCCGTCTACAGCTGAGCCCAGAATCAACTCGAAGGAGCAATTTGACCCTTGTTCTTCTCCGTGATGCCTGGTAATGACCAACTAGATGTGCCCGACATTAAGTGTCGAGGAGTCCTGACAACTCGTAAAACGTTTGTGAAGTCGCAAAGCTCGAAAGGCCTGCAGGAATTACTCCTGAATACATGGATCTGTCGAGGTGCGTGTTGTTGTCAGGGGGTAAATTATAGTTTTGGAGTTGAATCGGAGTGCCGGACGGCCTCCATCAGTTTTCTTGAAGAGGAGGTAGAAGTCGAGGCATACGCCGAGGACAATGTCGTATTTTCCTGAGAAATATTTGTGGGAAAGCATTTGACCATCAATGACGATGGTTTGCTTACGGAGAGTCCTTTAGTGGATGCTGTCGAAGTCATCGGCTGTTGTGTCTGGCTCATGCTTATAGTTATGCCGGCACAACAGCTTTTCCACCATTTTCGGGTTCTGGCCATATCCCTGCAGGCGGAGAATGAATGGCAGGTAACAGAAGAGGCGCTTCGCGGATTCGACCATTTATCCGAGGCTGCATCTCTGCCTGTGTACGCCAGATAAGAATTTACGCACCTCTTTCTCGACAATCTCGCTCATTAGATCATATGAAACATGCTGAAGACACCCTCTTTCTCTCGTACGAGCTCGAACATCTTCAAGAGACAGCAAGTTGTGCAATATTTGCTGTGGTTGGGCATGCGATTCTGACGCCACAAAAGTATTTGGCTTTCTCCTCGTTCAGAAGTGGAATGGGTACGGATTTCCCATTCGCATGAGGGTCATCAGCATTAAATAATTGCTGAGGGAGACCCACAGAAAATTTAACCACCGACCACCCAAGTTGTGCAATATTGTTTAGGCATGCAGTTCTGACTCCGCCACGGTATTTTGTTTTTTCGTCGTTGGGAAGTAGAATGGGTACAGATTTCTCGTTTGAATCAGGTTTGCCATCTTGAAATGAGTGTTCGGGGAGATCCACAGAAAATTTAACCACCGGCGACTCAAGTTGCATAATATTGTCTGTATTTGGAGATGCGGGCCTAACTCCACAGGAGTATTTTTATTTTTGGTTGTTCAGAAGGGGAATGGGTATGGATTTCTCATTCGAATGAGGTACTTCAGCATAGAATGAGTGCTCAGGGAAACCTACAGAAAATCTAACCACCGGCGGCTCAAATTGCGCAATATTTCAGGGAAGTTGGTCAAAAGATCACTGGATGTTGGATTTCGTCTACAGATAAATCCACATTAATTGATCACGGACGCATGGCTCAGTTGGTAGAGCCCCAGTAGCGCGTAATCTGGAGGTCCCAGGTTAAATCCCTGGCCTGACCACCTCTTTTATTTGTTATCAGATTCACAGTCAGATCAGCGATTAGGGGTTGGCGTTAGCAATCAAGGGGTCCTGATGTTATCAATGGATGTTGGCTTCAGGAGTAGTGTTGCCGCGGCTCGACTCGCTAGCCGTGTGAGCCGAGCCGAGCCAGCCATTGGGCAAACAGCTTTGATGGCTTGGCTACGGCTCGAGCCGGCTCCAAGCCGGCTAAGCCGACGGCTTGGCCTAAATTGGAATGTTGGTGAATATCGCCGCCTTACTGCACAGGTTGCCAAGTTGATTCAACAAACGGCAACCTCGGCTTCGGCTCCAGTCTCGTCACGACCACTTTCAATCGGGATGCAAGATCTCCACCGTTTGCGGCAGGATTCCTAGATCCCAGCCGGCTCGTCGCCACAGCCTTCTGAGCATCATCAATCGCGCTCTTGGCCAGAGCCGGTGTCACATCTTCCATGCATAACATCAGAGTCCCCGAACACTTTCCTTTTGACGTCCACTCGACACCAACGAGTTGAAGACTTGTGACTAGTCGGCGCGTATGCCCACTGACCATTGCTTGCTCGCCGCCTTCGTCGCCGACGCCATTGGATCTTGTTTGGGCAGGTGCATTAGGAATTGGTTCAACGGGCTTCGTCTATGGCACCTGTTAAATCACGCGCCTTGGCACGGAGACGACAGATGGCTGCCCGCACTCAGAAAGTCCGCTGACAAGGGGGGCGTCGCCTTCAAGCGTCCTCTGCGCGGCCCCATCACCGACGCTCAGATGCGCGCATTCCGGGCTTCCCTCGACTCCCCTTCTGCGCGTCTGCATGGTTGGCGGCATACTCTGGCTATCGCGGATGCCGCCGGTTTGGTGAGCTCCTTATTCACAGAAAATCCAAGTTCTCGACGCTGCGCTACACTTGCCGCAGCACACGCGTCTCTTCTTCGGTTGGAAACGGGCGTGCGGTGCGCTCTATCCATCTGGTTTGGACGAAGACGACCGCGATGGCCAGCGCGAGTGCATTCTCACCGAGGTCGTGGGCGCCGACGCCGACTTGTGTCCGGTATGGGCCTGGGAGAACCATCTCTGCGTCAATCAATCCCGTCCTTCCGACACTCCCCTCTTCGCTTTTCGTTCGTCGTCGGGCATGGGAACACCTCACGAAGGACCATTTCCTGCAGGTCTCCTCCGCCGTGTCCAGGTCGGCTTCACTGGACCAGGTCTTCGGGCATAGCTACCGCATCGGAGGCTCGCTCACTTCTATCCGCTGGCGTCGAGATCATCATGAAGCTTGGCGGTTGGTCATCATTGTGCTTCCTCATTTATTAGTGGCGCCTCGAGAAGATTCTACCTCTTGCTATTACCCGCGCCTGGGACGCGCACATTACTGAGTTCGCAGCTGCGCACGGACATTCTGCGGACGTAGACTCGCTTTCCTTTGACGATTAATTCTTCCCTCATGTATCTTATTTCATTCTATGCATTTAATTGTCTTGTCACTCCGCTGCATAAACATATATTATATTAACAATTCGCGGGCCGTCAGCCGCTCTTTATACACAACCTATGAGACCTGTCCATACCAATTTTCAGGCGAAAGTGAATGTGATGAGTTGATGGACAGCTGTGGCGCGGTTAATCCTGGGCCGAAGGGTGAGAACATCAATACCTTACAGCTCTTTGCGGAACTTAAGGCGCAGACAAAAATTTTATTTTGTTGGACGCTTTTTGATCTTGCCCGCCAGGACACCTGTAGCGGGCTCAATTCTCACTTGTGGAATATTTGCTGAATTTTAGGGCTGTGCGCATATTTTACCTCTTCCCGATGCGGAAGTGGAACGAGTGGTCATTTTCTTGTCGAATCATAGTCAAGCCAGGTGAATGAACGCCCAAACACGTGCGCAAGAACATTAACCCCTTGCGAACCACGTTGTGGAATATTTTTTGAATTTTCTGGCTGTGTGCATATTTTATCCCTTCCCAGTGCAGAAGTGGAATGAGTGTTTACTCTCTGATCGAATCATACTCTGTCTAGGTGAGTGCACCCTCCAACATGCACGCAGATATTTTAACCCCTGGCGAACCACGCTGTGGAATATTTTGCTGAATTTTGTGGCTGTGCACATATTTTATCTCGTCCCAGACCAGAAGGGGAATGAGTGTTCATTTTCTGGTTGAATCATGGTCTGGCTAGGTGAATGGACCCCCAAACACACACAGAAAATTTAACCCCCGGTGAACCACATTGTGGAATATTTGCTGAATTTTGTGGCTATGCACATATTTTATCTCTTCTCGGTCCAGAAGTGGAGAAAAATGCTTACCATCCCCGACCCCGGACTTGCTTGTGCACCTCTGGCAGAGCCTCGTCCCCACTGAATGGGAGTAAGGGGGAGACACCTCATTTGACGGATTTGAGAAATCGGGTGCTCGCCTAACACGTTTCCAGCCCACGATTTTTGCTAGCTGCCGCAAGTTCAATTGAACTGTTGAGGCTTGCACGTGATTACGAGTCTTAGATTTTTATTTTTAAACTCGTCGTTTAGCACAGCTTTACCGCCAGATGGGATGGTTTTTTGAAGGTGACGCAGACGTTCGTGTGGTAGAGTCGTTTCCTAATTTGTATAAAATCGTGACTTTTTGTACACTTTGGGACTTTACTTTACCATTAGTTGTTTACGATTGGTGAAGCTTACCATTTCGGCTTCTGTCATGCATCTCTGGCCCGGGGATAAACCAAAGGCGGGCCGGGCTACGCTTCGGCCAATTAACGCGGTAATTTACCTGCTAACAAACTCAACTTTTCAGAGGCCAAAATGGACCAGTAAAATAGGGCCTATTTGACCCTAATTGGCCGTGGTTCATGGGGATAAAACTGTGGTCTTGGGCATCATACCACCTCAAGACAGTCTATTTGTGCATTCTTTCAATGTTTTGATTCGATTTTCGGTGGAATTCAGAGCCTTGGATGTCGGTTTGGGGGAATCGACTGATTTGGGTGAATTGTGACCCAAATGGTAGGGATTCAGACTCCAACACCATTTTAGCACTAAAAAACTACCGCAATAAAGGCAAAATTTTGGTCCTGGAGCCGTTTTGTGGCTGCTGGGGCCCCGGTAAATTTTGGGTAAATTAGCATGGTAAAATAGACTCCCGCGGTAAGGCAAAGGTAAATAACCTGAATTAACCAGACCCAAGTCCTATTTCTCGCCGCCTAATAAATGTGCTGCCTTTTGGCTCATGGGCGGTAAATTGTGTGGGAGTCCGTGCTGGTTGAACCACGGCACATTATGCGGCATTAAATAAGAATCGATCACCCCCGAGATAGGAGTTCCACTACCTACTTACGGTCATATGCAGGCGTTAAACATACTCACATTATATACTCATCGAAATTAATATACTGTTGAAACGGGCCCGGGAATCAGCATTAGTAACGGTAACTGGGATAGAGGACAGTCGTCATATTCCAAAAAAAAAAACGGACGCTAAAATGAAGCCGTGACAAGCAGAGGGAAAATCAAATGGACAACTCACCGTGGTCGAAACCGACGAGAAGACAAAGTTGGCCCCGCAGGTGGGCCATTTCGACATCTGATAAGGTCCAATATCAGACAATGTATTATTTCTGAACATACCGACTCGAACAACAGAGACATGGAGATTAAGAGTCAAGATAAATGATGGGGTCTGATGGAGCATGGGGTTACCTCCATCATCAGTGAAAAAAATAATTGAGGCTTGATCAATAGGCAGACCATGTGCTGTGGGGAGATTAAACCCTACGGTCGGGGTCCGAGAGGTTGGTGAACATCTTATCATCTTTATTCAAAAATTTTCACACTGTACTGAAAGTAAATATGCATCGTGGAGGCTGGATACTCCGACATCGACATGGGTAGATCACATCATTCACTCCAGGAACTGGCACGGACGCGCGTACTGACGCTTTGCCACAACTTTGCCACTGCCATCATGATCATTGATCGGGAGGTGATCCTTTTTTCTTCCTTCTCCTCCATCGTCCGGCGCTCCTCGCATTTTCCTCCCTCTTCCAGGGCCACGATTGGTATTCTACACGATTTCAGCGGCCTATCTACATGCCCTACGCCCCACTCTGGAGCCAACCTTCGGTCATCAACAAGCACCCCAGCAACAAGGGCGTGTATCCGGCGTAGGAGGGGTTCAAACTGTACAAACCTGCTTCAAACCTCGGAGTTATTGATATTTTCATCTCCTACACATTCTCCCATCCTGTGCTTATGACCCACACCCGGGACACGGTAGTACCGCTCCCAGTTGCCATTGAACTTCGGTCGCTGATGCCGTTGCGCCTCTTTCTACTTGGTACACATCACATATCTGGCCGTATTAGGAAGCCTTACTACATGGCGGGAAACCTTTGGATGCCTTGTGTTTGTGGATGGTGGTGGACACTTTATTCACAATTTATCCACGTACCTCTTGCTCCCTTCATCCGCGTCTACCTCTTTCTCGCTCGCTCCCGACAGCTACGCCCCCTTTTTGCCTCTACCATATTCTGTTCCCTCTTCTCCACATCTACCTGGTCCTTTCCTCTCTCCTACCCCTTCTCACATACCCCCTTATACTCTCTCGTAAATCTCATATTAAACAACCTCGCCAACGTGCCGTGCACACACCCAGAATCTCCCCACCTGTGCCCTCGCCGACTAAATGATCAAGATCCGCATCCGGAAGGACATCAGGGTGTTCAAGCACGCATGGTTCGTGGTACTGTTGTCGACGGGTGCTTGTTTTTTCTAATCTCGGGTTATATTTTCTTCGTCAAAACGTGTGTTCACTTCGGAGGAGGTAGCGTAGCGCGTTGGAGGTGCGTTTTGCAGCTATTTGCACAAGCTCAGGTATGAGGGCTGCTATTTTCGGCGTCGGGTGTTACTTACGCTGCTGTGAGAGTCGAAGCAACGCCGTGTGCCTACCGCGACTAGCGCTACTCGGGAAGTGAGGTATTTGTGCGAACCTGGGTAAACCAACTCT